GGGGGACGCATGGGGCAGAACGCATGGAGGAGACTGCATGGAGGAGAACGCATGGAGGAGAATGCATGGAGGAGAACGCAGGGAGGAGGACGCATGGGGCAGAACGCATGGAGGAGAATGTATGGAGGAGAATGCAGGGAGGAGGACGCATTGGGCAGAATGCATGGAGGAGAACACAGGGAGGAGGACGCATGGGGCAGAATGCATGGAGGAGAATGTATGGAGAACGCATGGAGGAAAATGTATGGAGGAGAATGCATGGAGGAGAACGCATGGAGAACGCAGGGAGGAGAATGTATGGAGGAGAACGCAGGGAGGAGGACGCATGGAGAACGCATGGCGGAGAATGTACGGAGGAGAACACAGGGAGGAGGACGCATGGAGAACGCATGGCGGAGAATGTACGGAGGAGAACACAGGGAGGAGGACGCATGGGGCAGAACACATGGAGGAGAATGCATGGAAGAGAACGCAGGGAGGAGGACGCATGGGGCAGAACGCATGGAGGAGAACACAGGGAGGAGAACGCAGGGAGGAGGACGCATGGGGCAGAACGCATGGAGGAGAACACAGGGAGGAGAACGCAGGGTGGAGGAGGACGCATGGGGCAGAACGCATGGAGGAGAAATGCATGGAGGTGAACGCAGGGAGGACGCATGGAGCAGAATGCATGGAGGAGAATGCGTGGAGAACGCATGAGGAGGAGGACTCATGGAGAACGCATGGAGGAGAATGCGTGGAGAACGCATGGAGGAGGACTCATGGAGAACGCATGGAGGAGGATGCATAGGGGAGGATGCATGGAGGAGGACGCATGGGGCTGCAGCATGGTTTTGGAAAAGGGTCAGAGACTTCTATTCTGCATTGAGATAAATGGGGGCCTACAAGCGACACTCAGGAACCCGGAGAAAACACAAATGCCTATAGAAGCTTTTAGAAGCCGCAGCAGCGATCTGTGAGCAGCATTGTGTGCGATGGGCAGATATCCCCGGCTGGGGTCGGCCTGGATCAGCTCCGGGTATTATTAGTCTATGGCCGGCTGCCATCTCTGAGTCACGGACGATCGTTCTATGGAGGACACCTGTTCCGGGAGGATCAGCGAGGAGGAGGAATGTTCCGGATCAGAGGATATCAGCCGCCTCCTGATTATCGGAGACATGGAGCGATCCCGGCACCGAGCACCATGAACCCGAGCCACAAATACTTCCCGGCATCAAACCGGAAAATCGCTTCATTCCCGCATTTCTGATTTGGAGGTTCCAATAAATCTGTACAGTCGCTCATCCAGCGAGTCTGCGCTCCTCCTGTGTGACATGGGGAAAGCGAATGTTCCCCAGACTCTCCTCCCTCTGGGCGAATGTTTCCCAGACTCTCCTCCCTCTGGGCGAATGTTTCCCAGACTCTCCTCCCTCTGGGCGAATGTTCCCAGACTCTCCTCCCTCTGGGCGAATGTTCCCAGACTCTCCTCCCTCTGGGCGAATGTTCCCCAGACTCTCCTCCCTCTGGGCGAATGTTCCCCAGACTCTCCTCCCTCTGGGCGAATGTTCCCCAGACTCTCCTCCCTCTGGGCGAATGTTCCCCAGACTCTCCTCCCTCTGGGCGAACGTTCCCCAGACTCTCCTCCGTCTGAACGTCCCCCAGACTCTCCTCCCTCTGAATGTTCCCCAGACTCTCCTCCCTCTGAATGTTCCCCAGACTCTCCTCCCTCTGAATGTTCCCCAGACTCTCCTCCCTCTGAATGTTCCCCAGACTCTCCTACCTCTGAGCGAATGTTCCCCAGACTCTCCTCCCTCTGGGCGAATGTTCCCCAGACTCTCCTCCCTCTGGGCGAACGTTCCCCAGACTCTCCTCCGTCTGAACGTTCCCCTAGACTCTCCTCCCTCTGAATGTTCCCCAGACTCTCCTCCCTCTGAATGTTCCCCAGACTCTCCTCCCTCTGAATGTTCCCCAGACTCTCCTCCCCCTCTGAATGTTCCCCAGACTCTCCTCCCTCTGAATGTTCCCCAGACTCTCCTCCCTCCCTCTGAATGTCCCCCAGACTCTCCTCCCTCTGAACGTCCCCCGGACTCTCCTCCCTCTGAACGTCCCCCGGACTCTCCTCCCTCTGAACGTTCCCCAGACTCTCCTCCCTCTGAACGTCCCCCAGACTCTCCTCCCTCTGAATGTCCCCCAGACTCTCCTCCCTCTGAATATCCCCCAGACTCTCCTCCCTCTGAATATCCCCCAGACTCTCCTCCCTCTGAATATCCCCCAGACTCTCCTCCCTCTGAACGTCCCCCAGACTCTCCTCCCCCTCTGAACGTCCCCCGGACTCTCCTCCCTCTGAACGTCCCCCAGACTCTCCTCCCTCTGAACGTCCCCCAGACTCTCCTCCCTCTGAACATCCCCCAGACTCTCCTCCCTCTGGGCGAACGTTCCCCAGACTCTCCTACCTATGAGCGAATGTTCCCAGACTCTCCTCCCTCTGGGCGAACGTTCCCCAGACTCTCCTCCCTCTGGGTGAACGTTCCCCAGACTCTCCTCCCTCTGAATGTCCCCCAGACTCTCCTCCCTCTGAACGTCCCCCAGACTCTCCTCCCTCTGAATGTCCCCCAGACTCTCCTCCCTCTGAATGTTCCCCAGACTCTCCTCCCTCTGAATGTTCCCCAGACTCTCCTCCCTCTGAATGTTCCCCAGACTCTCCTCCCTCTGAATGTCCCCCAGACTCTCCTCCCTCTGAACGTCCCCCGGACTCTCCTCCCTCTGAACGTCCCCCAGACTCTCCTCCCTCTGAATGTCCCCCGGACTCTCCTCCCTCTGAACGTCCCCCGGACTCTCCTCCCTCTGAATGTCCCCCGGACTCCGTCCTCCCTCTGAATGTCCCCCAGACTCTCCTCCCTCTGAATGTCCCCCGGACTCTCCTCCCTCTGAATGTCCCCCAGACTCTCCTCCCTCTGAATGTCCCCCAGACTCTCCTCCCTCTGAACGTCCCCAGAACTCTCCTCCCTCTGAACGTCCCCCAGACTCTCCTCTCTCTGTCTGAACGTCCCCCAGACTCTCCTCCCTCTGAACGTCCCCCAGACTCTCCTCTCTCTGTCTGAACGTCCCCCAGACTCTCCTCCCTCTGAATGTCCCCCAGACTCTCCTCCCTCTGAACGTCCCCCAGACTCTCCTCCCTCTGAATGTCCCCCAGACTCTCCTCCCTCTGAATGTCCCCCAGACTCTCCTCCCTCTGAATGTCCCCCGGACTCTCCTCCCTCTGAATGTCCCCCAGACTCTCCTCCCTCTGAATGTCCCCCGGACTCCCTCCCTCTGAATGGTCCCCCAGACTCTCCTCCCTCTGAATGTCCCCCGGACTCTCCTCCCTCTGAATGTCCCCCAGACTCTCCTCCCTCTGAATGTCCCCCAGACTCTCCTCCCTCTGAACGTCCCCCGGACTCTCCTCCCTCTGAACGTCCCCCAGACTCTCCTCCCTCTGAACGTCCCCCGGACTCTCCTCCCTCTGAACGTCCCCCAGACTCTCCTCCCTCTGAACGTCCCCCAGACTCTCCTCCCTCTGAACGTCCCCCAGACTCTCCTCCCTCTGAACGTCCCCCAGACTCTCCTCCCTCTGAATGTCCCCCAGACTCTCCTCCCTCTGAACGTCCCCCAGACTCTCCTCCCTCTGAATGTCCCCCAGACTCTCCTCCCTCTGAACGTCCCCCAGACTCTCCTCCCTCTGGGCGAATGTTCCCCAGACTCTCCTCTCTCTGTCTGAACGTCCCCCAGACTCTCCTCCCTCTGAATGTCCCCCAGACTCTCCTCCCTCTGAACGTCCCCCAGACTCTCCTCCCTCTGAATGTCCCCCAGACTCTCCTCCCTCTGAACGTCCCCCAGACTCTCCTCCCTCTGGGCGAACATTCCCCAGACTCTCCTCCCTCTGAACGTCCCCCAGACTCTCCTCTCTCTGTCTGAACGTCCCCCAGACTCTCCTCCCTCTGAATGTCCCCCAGACTCTCCTCCCTCTGAACGTCCCCCAGACTCTCCTCCCTCTGAATGTCCCCCAGACTCTCCTCCCTCTGAATGTCCCCCAGACTCTCCTCCCTCTGAATGTCCCCCAGACTCTCCTCCCTCTGAACGTCCCCCGGACTCTCCTCCCTCTGAATGTTCCCCAGACTCTCCTCCCTCTGAATGTCCCCCAGACTCTCCTCCCTCTGAACGTCCCCCAGACTCTCCTCCCTCTGAATGTCCCCCAGACTCTCCTCCCTCTGAATGTCCCCCAGACTCATGCAGAGCTGCCACGTGGTCTTCTTTTCACACACCCTCCTCCAGGCTTGCCAGGTGGACACTTAGGCCTCAACGAATGCCGGCTTGGGTTGGAAGGTCCTTCAGGCAGCTCTCTGACCTCCTTTCAACTGTCAACCTGTTTTATGTGGACCTTTTGGCATTTGTGTTGCCACCCCTCACTTGGACTGATGGTGGACATCCCTATGCACCATAATACTCATCCAGCGCCCCCTAGTGTATGATTAGTTAAAATCCTTGGGAGAACAGTAAGGGACACAGGCCCCTCCCCTCTTCTGTTCTACTCCACCCATTGCTGAGGCATGCTGGAGTGGGAGGGGTTATGCTGGGCTGTCTTACAAAACAATTTACAGGTGAGACAACTTTCCTGTTATTGATATTTGGGATTGCGGGAAAATTGCGGGAAATGTTCTGTCTGGATACAATGTAACATTCTATGTAATAAAAATATGGAGATCAGATGGAAGATAAATGTGGTGATACTTCCGTGACTTCAGTGACTTCCGTGACTTCCATGACTTCCATGACTTCCATGACTTCTGTGACTTCCATGACTTCCGTGACTTCCATGACTTCTGTGACTTCCATGACTTCCGTGACTTCCATGACTTCTGTGACTTCCATGACTTCCGTGACTTCCATGACTTCCGTGACTTCTGTGACTTCCGTGACTTCCATGACTTGTTCTTCTCACGCATCCTCCCAGTATATAATGGTAACCAATCACCTTTCCCCAGGAGCTGTCATGGCGTCATCCCGATACTCCTCCCACGGATCTCTGACCAGGCCACCATTGAGGAAGCACCCAATCCTGAGTGTGTATGAGCTGGAGAAGATCCTCTATAACCGGGAAGACGTCATGGAACCACGCCGACGAAGTGTCTCCAAAACTCTATTTAGGAGATCAGTAAGTCTTTGAACCCTTTCCCTGACACAGCTCTTTGCCTTTTTTTTGGACATTTTAGACCGTAAGATGACATAAAACCTCCAAACACGATATATTCCCTGAAAGCAGAGACCCTGGAGAATAAAATGGTGGTCTTTCCAAGTTATGTGTCCCACAATGAAGCCCCCCGACGGTTTATGATCCGGAGGATCCCGCCCCCACCCCCTCCAGAAGATTCCCCCCCTCCAGAGGATCCCGCCCCCACCCCCTCCAGAAGATTCCCCCCCTCCAGAGGATCCCGCCCCCACCCCCTCCAGAAGATTCCTCCCCTCCAGAGGATTCCCCCCCCCCTTCCTGACCAGGCCATTTTTTGTGATACTGCGCTGCGTTACTTTAACTGACAATTGCGCGGTCATGCAGCGCTGCACCCAAATGATATTTACGTCCTTTTCCCCCACAAATTGAGTTTTCTTTCCGTGGTATTTGGTCCCCTGCGCGTTTTTTATTTTTTGCGCTATAAACAAAAAAAGACCGACAATTTTTGAGAAAAAACAATATTTTGGACTTTTTACTATTAAACACATCCAGTAAAAAAATTAAATTTCCTCATAAATTTCAGCCAAAATGTCCCCCGCTCCGTGTCTCCCACTCCGTGTCCCCCGCTCCGTGTCTCCCGCTCCGTGTCCCCCGCTCCGTGTCCCCCGCTCCGTGTCCCCCGCTCCGTGTCCCCCGCTCCGTGTCCCCCGATCCGTGTCCCCCGCTCCGTGTCTCCCGCTCCGTGTCCCCCGATCCGTGTCCCCCGCTCCGTGTCCCCCGCTCCGTGTCCCCCGCTTCACTGAATATTCCGTAACTCCGTGTCTTCACTGAATATTCCCAATACGTGCAAATTAATTGGTTTATGTGAAAGTTATCGCGTTTACAAATGGCGGGATAGATACGGGGATTTTTATTTTTTTATATATACTAGTAATGGTGGTGATCAGCGACTTATAGCGGGACTGTGGCGGCATTCTGACACGGGGTGGGGGGGGACTGACTTGGTGTCACTGACATCCCCAGTGACACCAATACAGTGATCAGTGCTAATAAAATGCACTGACACTGTGCTAATGGCTCTGGGCAGGAAGGGGTTAACGAGGGGCATCAAAGGGTTACCTGTGTGCTGGGAGTGTTTCACTGTAAGCATGCTGCTATGCAGAGCCATACAAAGCAGAGTGCCGGAGCTGGCAGGGGAGAGGTCTGTATTGTTCATACACAGGTCTCTCCCCCCATCGGTAATACTCGGTGATCACCGGGTGCCGGCGGGGAATCTCTGGCTGGGACCTGGTGATTGACAGCCGAGGCCACGAAAGGCAGCGCAGGTAGGGCAGCACGTGGGTGCCCCCTACCTGGAGATGTGAAATCACGTATATATATATAGGTGATGTCCCCCCCCCCCCTCCCACGCCACCCTGTAGCCGTATTTCCATTATAGGGCGGAGGGGAAGCAGTTAAGAAATAAAATGTTCCGCAGAACAACCTGCGCTGACGCGTTTCAGTCCAGAAAAGGTCCTCAGGCTGCGTTCCTTCTCGGGCTCCGTTCCTTCTCGGGCTCCGTTCGATCTCAGGCTGCGTTCCTTCTCAGGCTGCTTTCGTTCTCAGGCTCCGTTCCATCTCGGGCTCCGTTCGATCTCGGGCTCTGTTCGTTCTCAGGCTGCGTTCCTTCTCGGCTGCTTTTGTTCTCGGGCTGCGTTCCTTCTCGGGCTCCGTTCCTTCTCGGGCTGCGTTCCTTCTCGGGCTGCGTTCCTTCTCGGGCTCCGTTCCTTCTCGGGCTCCGTTCCTTCTTGGGCTGCGTTCCTTCTCGGGCTGCGTTCCTCTCGGGCTGCGTTCGATCTCAGGCTGCTTTCGTTCACAGGCTTTGTTCCTTCTCAGGCTGCGTTCGATCTCGGGCTCTGTTCGATCTCGGGCTGCGTTCCTTCTCAGGCTCCGTTCCTTCTTGGGCTGCGTTCGTTCTCAGGCTGTGTTCGATCTCGGCTGCGTTCCTATTCAGGCTGCGTTCCTTCTCGGGCTGCGTTCCTTCTCGGGTTCCGTTCGTTCTCGGGCTGCGTTCCTATTCAGGCTGCGTTCGATCATAACTGACAGAGAAAGTCCACTAGATGGCAGAATACACCCAGAGATACTTCTTATGTACAGAAGGAGATACAGGCAGCAGTATATAGCAGAGGGTATATACTATATACAGTGCAGTATATATATATCGGGTGTGATTGTACGGTGTGTAGTACGCCATTCTGTCCTTGGACCTGTGAGTACTCTGAGGGATCTTGGGGACTCTGTGCATTGCCTCCCCTCTGATGCTTGATGATGGTCAGCGAGGGTCTGAGGTCAGCGAGGGTCTGAGGTCAGCGAGGGTCTGAGGTCAGCGTGGGTCTGAGGTCAGCGAGGGTCTGAGGTCAGCGAGGGTCTGAGGTCAGCGTGGGTCTGAGGTCAGCGAGGATCTGAGGTCAGCGAGGGTCTGAGGTCCGCGAGGGTCTGAGGTCAGCGAGGGTCTGAGGTCAGCGAGGGTCTGTGGTCAGCGTGGGTCTGAGGTCAGCGAGGGTCTGAGGTCAGCGAGGGTCTGAGGTCAGCGAGGGTCTGTGGTCAGCGAGGGTCTGTGGTCAGCGTGGGTCTGAGGTCAGCGAGGGTCTGAGGTCAGCGTGGGTCTGAGGTCAGCGTGGGTCTGTGGTCAGCGAGGGTCTGAGGTCAGCGATGGTCTGAGGTCAGCGTGGGTCTGAGGTCAGCGAGGGTCTGAGGTCAGCGTGGGTCTGAGGTCAGCGAGGGTCTGAGGTCCGCGAGGGTCTGAGGTCAGCGAGGGTCTGAGGTCAGCGAGGGTCTGTGGTCAGCGTGGGTCTGAGGTCAGCGAGGGTCCTGAGGTCAGCGAGGGTCTGAGGTCAGCATGGGTCTGAGGTCAGCGAGGGTCCCTGAGGTCAGCGAGGGTCTGAGGTCAGCGTGGGTCTGAGGTCAGCGATGGTCTGAGGTCAGCGTGGGTCTGAGGTCAGCGAGGGTCTGAGGTCCGCGAGGGTCTGAGGTCAGCGTGGGTCTGAGGTCAGCGAGGGTCTGAGGTCAGCATGGGTCTGAGGTCAGCGAGGGTCTGAGGTCAGCGAGGGTCTGAGGTCAGCGTGGGTCTGAGGTCAGCGAGGGTCTGAGGTCAGCGAGGGTCTGTGGTCAGACGTGGGTCTGAGGTCAGCGAGGGTCTGAGGTCAGCGAGGGTCTGAGAGTCAGCGTGTGTCGATGTTCTGAAGAGTTCGTCCAATTGTTGCTCCTGTACGGGACTTTGCTCTAAACTAACCGGCTTGTTGCTTGCAGCCTGTAGAGAAGTCTGATATCTGCGTTCAGCCGAGACTTCAACCGACCCAACCGAGAGGTCTAATCTTGGAGCATCCGACTGAATTCCCATCACCATCCCCATCCCTACCCCTATCCCCATCCCTACCCCTATCCCCATCCCTACCC